AACGTTCAGTGCTAAGACCATTCCATCTTGCCATGATCGACGACATTAAACCAGCAGCGTAGGAAGCAAGACACTCGTTTTCTTTAGGCCTGCTGCTTTGCAAATCAATCATGAACGAAGCAATAGTAGCGGAATTATCGTACCTTGCAATTATAAAGTCGCTTAAAATCGGTCCACGTCATACCAGGATACGACACGGTAGATAGCCAGGTAGAAGCTTCCTCCCTTCAAGGCGCGACTTAGAGCAACCATAAGCGGGGCGCCATGCTGGACTTGGTTCGTCAAACACATCTCTGCAGTCGTCACCCAAGCACGTGCATCCACATCTTGTTTTTCAGGATCGAAATCGGGTAAACGAAAGCCATGTGACGGCAAAGTAGGTGTTTTCATAGCTTCAATCAGCGTCAGAAAATTGCGGTTCTGTTGTTCTAACAGACGCATCCATTTTTCGTCACTAGCTTCATTACGAACGCGTGAGTCGTCGTCGTGGTCCAATCCCACTTCTGATGTCGGAGATACGCTACCCGTGGGTCGCGACATTGTCGAATCACACCAAAATACCAAATTACTGATAATAGTAAGAACGCAGGAAGTTTAGCAGGGAGTAACGCTTCTAGCTGCCGCCACCGCCGCAATCCTTTCCAAAAGTGTTTCCCGCGCTCAGTGACGTCTGTCAACGTCATGCGCTGTCAAATGTCAAAGTCTGATTAAACTTCCGGATCGATATTTCCATCAGTGTTGCCATTACTCCGCGCTAACCATCCTCAAGTAATTACTTGACGTTCTCAAACAATAGTTGCCACATCTAAATTAATTGATATGCGTTGACGCTTCGACATATAGATATATTTATACATACAGTAATGGAATATGTACAGTAGGTATGTGAGAATAATTCAAAGACACGCTTAACGCATTATACTAATTACAAAACTTATTAAAATATAATAAAAATAATGAGTCATTCTCATTATGTGATAGATTATCACATAATGTCGTGGTGGCCCGGAGGTTTAAGACGCCCACTTCTCATGCATGAGGGTGCGGGTTCGAAACCTACCAACGGCAAGTACCAATGTGACTTTTTCCGAGTTATATGTACTTTCTAAGATTATTTAGACACCACTGACAAACGGTGAAGGAAAAACATCGTGAGGAAACCTGGACTTATAATTTCTAATTATAAGTTTGAAATCGCCAACCCGCATTGAGCACGCGTGGTGATTAATGCTCTAACCTTCTCCGTGTGAGAAGAGGCTTTGCTCAGCAGTGGGCATTTATAGGCTGTTGATGATGATAGATTATCATTACTGAACATAGGTTTCTGTCTTTGAAAGTGGTTGTCGTTATTAGCTGGACAGTGCAGGGATTGCAGTTGAATCCCCAAATACATAAGCTATTGCTTATCTCTTAGTAGCTAATGCAAAAGTCTCTTTTAAGCACCTAAAATTATAATTTCCACTAACAGAAAGCAGAAAAACATTTAAAAAAATATTTTAAGAAAATCAGATTCCAGAAAAGACCCCAAGGAGTTTTTCGGACTAATTACTGTTGTATATGTTGTCAAATAATAAAAATATCAGAACACAAATGTTATTCATTTGTTGATAACATTTAAACGCCACGAACTTGGGTTATCAGTGTAATATTCACATTCTGTGGGGTGGTATTATTACAAACAACTGTCCGAATTCTAAGTATTTTAGTTAGTTTAAGTGTATGTTTCTACGTTTCATAATCATAACTTAGTATACTTAAAGATATAATATCCTACGCAGTATGACTGCCTCGTTGGCCAAGTGGTCGCAAATACGACTGCCGGGAAACAATATAACACCCACTTTTCACTATTTATGTTATGAGTCCCATGTTATAGGGGGTGAGCCTATTGCCATAGGCGGCAAGGAATCTCGGGTTCGATTCCCGGGTCGGGCAAAGTATAACTGAGTTATTTTAAAATTCTCAGTAGTAGCACGGAGTCTGGAATTGTGGTCGGTATATGGCAATAGGCTCACCCTCTATTACATGGGACTCATAACGTTAATAGTGAAAAGTGGGTGTTACATTGCACAGTGGCATAACGTGCACCTCTGCCTACCCCTTCGGGGATAAAAGACATGTTATGTTATGTTATCTGGCCTGCTAATTAGAAAGCGCTTTGCTTGGATCGTATAGTACTTCTATGTAACATCTGTCACGTATGGTGTGTTACTTAGTTTAATGACGTTTTAGCCCCCACTCCTAAACTTTAACTTCGTTTTATCTAAGTATTGTTTTATTATACGACAAAATAAAAAAAACGTGTCTAATATTTTTTCATTACCTAACTTACGGACTAATTATATTTTTAATTTTCATACCCTGTCATCATCCCCATTATTGAGATTTTTTATGTACTAACACAGACTGTGTACATGTAGCTAGCCTTTAGCTGCCGACGAAAAACTGTTGAGGACAAAGCCTTCGCTAATGTCGTCTCATCGTTGCGTGGGGCGAATGTATTATGTTATTGCAATTTTAACAATACTTCTCTCATTGCCTTTACTCCAATTACGACCTAAACAAATACTAAAGAAGGTAGCTACGAAACTATATTACAGTTGTATTTCAAGCAATTTTATTACCACACTAGCTTCTGCCCGCGACTTTGTACTCGCAATCCCGTTTTCTCCCGTTCCCATAAGATTTTCAGGATTTTTTTCTATCATAAGAACCTTCTCCGGGCAATAACAATCACAACAAAAAATCAGCCAAATCGGTCCAGCCATTCTTAAGTTATGGCGTGACAACGGGAAACGGCTTTCATTTCTATATAAATAGATTTTACTCAAGATCTTTTTGTACGAAGAAGATATTAAACGTGTTTCTAAATAATACACTATTACAGGACAAATGCTGATTAAATTAAATGGCTAAGTGTCTTTCCAGGCCAAGGCGATCTTGCTTTCAGTACCTACATCTATCGAATTATATTCTTACTACCTCTCATGATTATTAAAGTGTTATATCACTATTTGAAGACGAATCGTATAACACTTGTAATGTTACAGAATTGTTATCGGTACAACGCTGATATTATAAGAATATGATATTGTTTTGTTTTCAATGTTTGGCAATATTGTGAAAAGTGTGTTTTACCTAAAAACTTCTGAGTATTGGTGATGTCATGATGTTTGCATAACAAATGCTTTGAAGAAAAAGTGATATTAAACAAAATCAGATTATCACATTAATTAATGGGTGACATTGAAACAACATTCTCAAAATTTTCAGAAGACGCACGGAGTCTGGAACTGAGCCCGGTATATGGCAATAGTCTCACCCCCTATTACATAGGACTCATAACATAAATAAATAGTGAAAACTGAGTGTCACATTGTACAGTGGTATAATGTGCACCTCTGCCTACCCCTTCGGGGATAAAAGACGTGATGTTATGTTATTGAAACAACCTGGATCAATATGAAGTCATTGTTTGTATTTGTCATTGCATGATTCAGTTTGAAATGGTTTCAGAAGTAGCAAAGATTCGTTAGATTTCGAATTTTTAAGTAAATTGAGTTTACTGCCCTAACTACTACTTATAATTAGTACCTACTCAGTCAAAATAGACATGTATACAATTAATTTTCGTGGAATTTCCTTCATTTTTCTTCAAAATATCAGTGTACTAAAACAGCATACTACAATGTTATTATTACATACACTCCAGCTACATGACTCTAGAGACCGAATGTGAATTCTTTCGTACGAAAACATATCTATCCATTTCAGAAAATCCGGACGCGGCTTGATGAACACCACGTTAGACAATAGTACCCTGGACCCAATACCTTTATAGAACAGAAAGCCAACCGCGATTGGCCCGACATCTATGAATGTATGTCGCTCGGCACCCAATGTTTTACCAAACCAATTTTTGGTAAATCTGCATGCGGCCAGGAAAATACGTTGTTTTCTTATTTCTTCTCTATTTCGGAAATAACTGGTTTGTTCTCTTTCATGGTGTGTACAGGATTTTAGATAGCTGTATGCGGCAAAGGTAAAAAGAATTGAGTATTAATAGTTGTTTTCCAGAAAATGTTTGTTGTAGTCTAGTGATGAGAATCTTTTAATTCTTGAATAACAAACTTGAATTTTAAATACAGTAAGAACACAATAACATTAACCGAAAGATGATGATGTAATTATTAAAAACAAAACACAAATTACGAGGTAAGAATAATAAATTATGAGAATTTATTTATTTACAACGAATACAAATACCAAAGGAAAAATGTAAAGAACAAACAAAAGCAGAATAAATGGCCAACTTGAAGTTTAATCAGTAAACAGTTATCTCGCTAATAAATTAGGTATTTAAAATGAATTTTTAGGTACTACGAATATAAAGTTTATCAAAGAAGCGATAAGCGAGGGATTTTTAGTTCAAACAAGGTTAAAAAGGGTCAAGTTCTCATTAAAGTAATTACTGATATACCAAACTACAAAAATTAAACATGTTTAAATAATAAAATAGGTGTTAAGGCAAGATAGTTTTGTTTTAGCAACAAAGTTAAGGATGATATTTGGTTGATGAACAAGTGTATTAAGATTAAGATGTTTCTAGTAAAGCGAAGGAAGCGCCAAAGAAAACATATTGTCTACAAAATTAATAATGTTTGTTAAATTGATAATACTGAAAGCATGAAACATGCTAAGTATTGAAACACGACATAGCCTGACGCAGAGGCTGTTATTTGTAAACAAACAATATGTAGGTATGTACCTATTTCTAGTCACATGAAGACATTTCAAAAAATTTACCAATAGTGTTATCATCGCTTTCTAATTTCAATCCTATGTATACAGTTTAACTCTCAATTATGTGAAAATTCACACTACACATGTTTGTGAAAAGAAAACAAACCATGATTATAAAAGTAAAGTAAATGCTATCATTGTTAGTTTGTCTTCATCGTCTTTTTCCAGCTATTATTTACTATTTTCTAAATCAAAACCTATACTTCTGGCACTCTCGGCGGGTACCTTCCAGGTATGTGTTCTGGATTATTAGGATTGTACTCCCAGATAAGGTACTCTGGTTCGTTAAGGTACAGAGGAGGTATTTCGTCACTGGGCTCCAACTCTTGTCCCAGAAGATTCTTGTTGCGTTTCAAAATTTCCTCTACCTTCGCTAGCGATTCATCTGAAATTTCTGAACACAAAACACAAGTTTTGAGGCAGTTTATCTGCCAAGTAACAGTCGTATCGTATGCTATCTCTATACAACATTTGAAATGATATAAAGCAATAAAAAAAATTAATAATTGCAAGAAGTAAACATTAAAGTCACATCTACTTATAACGTTTTAAATTAAGTTATGGCGATATTGAAACTTTTTATAGGATATTGGTATAAATATACTTACTAGTTCTTCGTAGGTCCAATTTGAGGATCTTCCTGTTCCTTTCAAGAGCACGAATTAAAGTTGCTTCGGCGTCACCTGACAAATCATTGGCGGCTATATCCAACCTAGTGAGACCACGATTCAAGCTGAGGAGACCCGCCATCTACATAGGCAGTAAAAAGCGGCAGGTGTTACAGTCATATACCAGTACCTAAATCATTGTTATACGACAGCACACGTATTTTATACGACCAATAAAAAGTCTACTTGTAAAACAAGTTTTCTTAGCAATGCGGTTTGGAAACGTGATCTTTTCATTTTGAATTATGTATATTAATTTTTAGACTGGAATAAAATCTCACCTTTTCAGCGGATGCTCCGCTAAAACCACAAGAGTTAACGATCAAAGTTTGCGGTTTTTCCTTGCACCTGACAAATGCTGCCGCGAACATAGTCGCACATTCTAGAGACATCGGGTTCAAGCTGAAGTCTGCAAAAATAAACTAAAAATTAGTGAACCTGTTCTGTAAGTAAGTACGAGAATTTTAATTTTTTATTGTAAGTACCTAAAAGTTCGATAGGAGCCGCTGGTTTCATCTGCAAAGCATAAGCGACTCCTTGGATACCTTCTTCTTTAAATCTGTTGTTGGCTATTCTCACCACTTTTACATTTTCATGCATATAAATAAAACCACCCAGTGCTTTCATACCGTAATCACCAATTTTACAATGATTAAAATCCAATTCCTCAATACTCGCCTTTTTGACAAGACTTTGAAGAATCAGTTTTACTTTAGAACAATCTAGATTACTTCTATTGATGCGAAATACTCTCAAATGTCTCAAGTCTTCTAGTCCACGGCAAATAGAATCGCAATCAGCCAATGAAAATTCGAAATATCTCGTCAAATATCTATCATCTAGATTATTAATACCAAACACTAATGATATTTCTTGGAGGTTATATAGTTTGGCTAAAACTGGCTCCATGGGGATATGGTCGTAGACTTTTGGAATACTAAATTCGCACGTGTCTTCAACTATATCGGAAGGTAGGGGAGGTGTCGGTTGACGCACCATTTGCAGCTGGTTGATTCCAAAGAAGTAAATATATGGACTGACCTGGTGATGTAAAACATAAATAAATTACATTATAGTTCGATTGGCTAATACATTAAAATGACGTTCGATATATGCAATTTGCACTACAAAATAATAAAGTTCACATACCAGTGTAGCAAGTTCTACAGCTTCATCTTCTCTAAAAACGTCAGGGTTAACAGACTCCAAATAGTCTTGAAGACATGCGGATAAGTAAGTGCCTTTCCAGAAAATATTTCCCAACTCCTTCTTGGAAGGGAATTTAGTCTCAAATGATCGTTTCCAATATTGTTCATCCTAAAACAAACACCATAATTATGCACTATAATAATAATAATGTATTTATTTCTCCTGACAATGACACAGCCTCGTTGGCTGAGTGGTCGCAAGTGCGAATGGGCAAGGGGTCTCGGGTTCGATTCCCGGGTCGGGCAAAATATTATTGGGTTTAAAAAAATCTCAGTAGTAGCACGGAATCTGGAATTGTGCCCGGTATATGACAGTAAGTACATGGGACTCATAACATAAATAGTGAAAAGTGGGTGTTACATTGTACAGTGGCATTAAATGTCGTAATTTGCACCTCTGCCTGCCTCTTCGGGGATAAAAAGGCGTGATGTTTTGTACAATGACACTTTTTTTAGTTTTACTATTTATGTATGATCGAATTTTTATCGCATTGCCTAACATAGACAACAGCTTAGGGGTTGGAGTCTATGTTAGGCAATGCGGTACAATACCTATATTACAAATCTCCAGGTCCCCACCCCACGGAAGAACATGAAGTTTTACCTAATAAATGTGAGATGTCTACTATGACTATAATTTGTAATAAATACAAAAGGTACAGGTACTTTATAATATACAAATTCACAAAATCTAACCTTAATGTTAGGGACGCTGTATTTCAATTTAATGCTAGCAGGATATAAGTCCATCAGCATGTCGATGTCTTTCTGAAGGATTTTCTTCAATGGATTGAGGGTGTCGAACATTCTTGATAGTTGGAGAGCAGCGTAAAATGTAAGTGGAGCAGGTGTCGTGTCGGTATCCCACTCAAAGTCCTCAGCTCTGATCTTCCGAGGAGCCTCTCCAGGTGACATCGTCATTGTAGGCAGTGGGGCATAAGCCTCGTAGATATTCATATTAACCAAGTAAGGGACTTTCATGGTGCCGTTTCTTTTCTAAACTTTACAACAAATTATACGATTCAACAATGAGAGTATATTGTCGAAAATGTCACGGTTGATTTGTTATTTGTCAACAAGTTTGTCAAGGGTTTTATTTTTTATTAATTGGTCCTCCAGTTCGATCTTTAAACAAACTTTTTGCTGATATTACTTTTTGGATTTTCCTTTTTGTTTGCTTTGTTTGTATGGAGTGCAGAATTTCGTATGTGAATTTCCGGTTCTCTCATGTCGAGCAAAGTATTAATTGGGGTTGTTTTTCTTACATTGTTTGATTGACCCCTTATTTAAAAATTATTTACTTCACCTATTGCGAAGGGATAATAATACAACCGCTGCAAAAAAATTATAGCTGAACTTCGTTATCGAAGTAATTTATATTTAGGTAATGGGTCTTTCAAAAGCTTGATGAGGAAAAACTAAATATCTTATTTTTCAGGTGTTTCAATCGTTGCCTATGCACCTAATTGGTGTGTGGGTGTGTGATACGTGATACACCTAATACGTGTGGAGACGGCGGCGACGTCCGCCAATATTGGCAGTACCAGCAGCGAGGACCAACCTTCTCGCTAAAGCACCACTGACTCGCGCAATCCATACCATGCCGACAAAAACTGTTAAAGGCTAATCCTCCGCTAGCGTCGGACATCATTGTCCGATGAGGCAGCCAATGTGTGAATAAGCTCCACGGTGGTGTTGATATACATATTTACAACTCCTTCGTGTAAATTCACAAAAGTACTATTATTTATTTTAAGTTATGATAGTGAATAGTTCCTACTATTGTAGTTTAGTTTATGTAATTTTAGGTTAGTTTTTGTTATTATGTAAGGTTTTATTTAATAGTTTAAGATGTAATGTGTATATATTGTAAGGTCTTCTTTATTATTGTTGTGTTTTATATTTTTTTTTGTTTCGTTGTTTTTCTTAACTAAATTAAGCCTCACTGTCGAATTGGGAAAATCCTCTAATGATAGTGTAGGAAGATTTTTTATAATAAATAAACAAAAGTTATTATTGACTATGAATTAATGGCGTAGTAGATATTATTATGTAGCATATACTAAGTGAACAATTAACCTAGTCACAAGTTAAAATGACGCAGAAGTCATTTAAATAATAAGAACAGTGTATAATGTATATTAATAGTACAAAGTTCACCAAAACACAGCTAACATAAACACGACATTCGGGTGTTTCCGCGTCTCTTCGTGCACGTTCGGACCAAAACAAAGTTGTGCTCTGCGCTCGCGCCGCATTCACTGTTTAGTTTGTTACCGTGTCATATCATATTGTAATATCGACCGGCGTGCGCGACTCTATCATTTCCAATTTATAATAAAAACAAGTTCATAAAATATATTCAACGTTTAAAAATCTAAATCGTAACACAAAATGGATTCTAATAACAAAAATTCGTCTCAAAACCGAAATACAGCTCAAGCTTCCAACTACAGCCCGTGGAATTTATTTACCTCAAGAAATCGTACCAACAGTGAAACAAGTGTTAGTTCTACAAATTCTCAAAGTAGCCAAACAGGTGGGTTTTATTTGTTTCCATATTTTCTGATTTTGTGTGTTCTTTAGAACTTAAAAATAAGTCCGTCTTGTTGTCAACAACATTCGCACTCACACGTTCAACTTGAAAGAACGAGACAAAACATACTTAAACCAAAACACTTTATATTTTTTTATGAATAAAACTGGCATCTTTTGTTGTTGACTCGACATAGACGTTACCAAAAAAAAAACATTCTTGGCTATTTTTGGTCCTATAATAAATTCGTCTCCGGCCAGCCACATGGTAACAAAAAAAAAACATACAAAGTGGGATGGGCCCGACGTAAGCACGTCACGTATTTAACAATGCATATTAAAGTAAGGTTAACTAGTGGAGAATGGAGACCGGTTACCTTGTTTGTCAACTGTACGACAATCTTAATGTACAGGGACAATCTAAACTAAACAAAAGTACTGTTCAAGGTTCATTAATATTGATTAAATATACTCTAATATATTATTTCATTTATGTAATAGGTTTAGATATTTTTATCAAGTTCATTTTGTTCCACTTTCTAAACTGGTTCTTGTAGGTAAACGAGTTGATAATTTTAATGTCAATGAATTGAATTTTTCTCGAACAATGGTAATAATAATTACCAAAGCTTGACTTAACGATGATGTTGCTTAATTAAGTACTGCGTTTGTAAAAATGCTTCATTTCATTTGTTCTGAGGTCGTTCAGTTTACTAGTTCCAAGTCCATAATTACTTATCGTTAATGTTCTCGTAATGTGGGTTGCATTACCCATACATTCAGTAATAATGGTTTTTGAATAAAGAACTCTAGCAAGCCCATTGCCCAATTTGACTACTGTTACAATATGCATATTTCTTAGCCATACATAACAAAGGAACTCGGACCCTGCATTGTTTTCAAAACTCGTTTATTTTTGTCCAAATGTTCGACGCACATGGTAATGAATGTCATGTGTATCGTGACGTCATCATGGTATTCTATTGGCACGTCATTGTGCCAAGGTTTCTACGATTTTACGATACTGATCACCATCTTCAATTAGAATACTCTTATGCTATAATTGATTATCCAACGCACGAATACTAAACATCGTGCCAGCAGTATTTTGGTTGACTTGTGATTTTTTATCAGTTATACATATTTGGAACCTTGTTGTCATGAAAAATGACGTCGCATTATTATAAAAGATAAATGATTACATAAATTGCTATAACATTGCCATCTGCGCACAAAGTCGTTATTGTTTGAATTTGCCGATTTTTTTTGTTATGCATTAGGTGTTGAAGGCTATCAATAAGGAAATATATATCGTTTTCAAATGTCTTGTGTTTATAATTGATTCTATTTTGCAATCACATATTCAAATCAACGTCGATATCAATTTTTTGTATGACAAGGTTATTAACAATCAAAAGGTCGCTGGTCATACCTATATCTAATATGAAATTCAACCAACGAATGGCTTTTAAAATTTAATATTTGCTATATTAGTCGATAGCAAATGTAACGTCTGGCGTCAAGTAATGAGCAAAACATTGAAAATAATTTTCCTTAAACATTTGTAATAAACAAAATACTTCCTCAAAATGGTTAGACGGGCTCTAGACGATGGCTAATGCGTATTACAGTAAGATAAAACCACAGATAATACTTATCTAACAGGTTCCAAAATTCAATGTCACCCACTAAATATCCGCACTCATAGGTAACGAATGCTATCTGAAATCGAGAAATAATCTTCAACGTGTAATCAATGGAGTAAGAATTTCTTTGAATTCATTTGAATTGAAATAGCCAGTAATTGCTGCTTCCAATATAAAAATAGCTCGGGGCTAAGGACCGGAAAATGAAGCCCAATTATTTATAACCCTCAGACCTTCAAGCACCGTTATGAGCAAACGAATTTTCTCCATCAATGATTTAAAATCAATTGCAGAAGTTTGAAATTTTATTGACCGATAAATTTTATGAGTCATATAAGACAATTCTGCTGAGAATGCCAGTCTCGATGATGATATTTTTATTACAGAACTTCTGAAACCAATCATACTAATTGTAGATCCCAATATAGATATCAGTTCAAAGAATCATGAAAGTGTTGAAATTGAATATAAAACAGTAAACACGGCTATTGATCACTAACCGTACGTTACAAACATACCAATATACATCTCGGAGAATAATATTTCTAAAAGTAAAAATATGACTATAATTATCACGACAGCAAATAAACTAGACCGAATAAAATATGATGATATGGCATGATGGACAATGTATACAGTTTCAAAGATAAGCAAAAAACATAAAAACAGAAATCTGACGTCATTTTATGATTGCATGGCTTTGTTCGACTCTAATAATGCTGACCATGAGAGAGCAAAATTAAATGTTGTAACGGCCCACGAACATTGTGTAGATGGAATTATTATGCGTTCATTTTGTAGTAGGAAATAAAAAATAGACATTAGCACAAATACTCAAAACAAGGGAATAAAGTTAACCTAGCGAAAGTTTCGACTAGTTTCGTGTCTAAATGACCAGTGAAGGAATGAATTTCTTGAACATCATTCTATCTTACTCAGACATTAGGAATCTTATTTTTTAGAACCGAAGATTCCTGATACGTTTGGTGTGTGCGTCATTGCGATACTTATTAAAATATGCGACAATCTTGAGTTATGAGAATTTTAATGGAGTACTAGAAAGAGTAAAAATACCATACGAATGATTCAAGTAAAAAATGAATTGATCAATTTTGCGACAGAACATTTTCTAATCAATCCTATTACCTACTTATAAGAAGATTAGCAAATTGTCTCACTAGGAATATAATCTACAATGTCAATTAGTCAATTGATAATAGTCTAGCAGTGTACATTTTTTATTATTTCAAATCTTTTTAGATAATGGTTGCAAACTAGCTAATCTACTTGTTCCTAACGTTAATCACTAATTTATCTGCGGGCTCTGTTATTAAAATGTCATAGTGATAATTACTTTTTAAACTACTACAAAATATTATACAAACTAGTTAGTTCCTCGCGTTTCCATCCTATTGATCGTAGCGTGCTATTTTATATCCTACAGCCTTCCTGAATAAATGGACTATCCAACACAAAAATAATTTTTCAAATCAGACCATTAGTTTCTGAGATTCGTGCGGTCAAATAAACAAACCCTTTTCAACTTTGTATTATAGTAAGGATATACGATTCAAGGAAATAACACGAACATACTTTTAAACGATTTCTTTGTGTCATTCATTGCCTTACATACATTACAGCTTACATACTACATACACTGTCGAAATAATGTTCTCATTGTGATAATAACCATGGTTATCATTGCAGGTACTCAATTTGGGGGACTGCAGAGACAAACGAGCAAAAACGAAGAATATCTTTGGATGATGTAAGTATAATTTTATATTGCGTTTTTTTTGC